GGTGGTTGGTGTGTGGGGGGGGGGGGAAATCACAGCAAAGTTTAGAATTTTGTTCTTGGATATATTCTAACTTGCACTTGATTGTGGGATATATAAATCTCTCTCTCTCTCTCTCTGTCTCTCTCAGCAAGAATCCAGTAGCACCTTAAAGACTAACAAAATCTGTGGTAGGATATGAGTTTTCATGACTCCCTGCTTACTTCTTCAGGTATCTGCGAAGTGAGCAGTGACTCATGAAATCTCATACCCTGCCACAGATTTTGTTAGTCTTTAAGGTGCTACTGGAGTCTTGCTTTTTTCTACTGCTATAGGCAGACTAAGGTCCTGTTCATATGAGGGGTTTTGGTCTGGGAGCGAGACAGAACGGGGGCAGATCAAACGGGCATGATCCCACGGCAACATCTGGGAATCGTTGCCTGCCTGTCTCCGATCCGTCTCTCCCGGCCGAAAACCCGCACCGAAAAGAACCACCCAACCTGGGTGGTTCTTCTGATTGAAGCGCCGCAAGCTGGGCCGTCGGATCGCCGGTGCGTCTTTGTGCCAGCTCATCCCCGGCTCCTAGCCGAACTGCGTATGCTCCGACATGCGCAGTTCGGCAGGCTCCCCGTCTGAACTGTGTTTTCTCCCCGGCATCTGATCGTGCCAGGGAGAAAAGGCACTGCGGCCCAGGGGATAGTGGGATCCCGCCGCGGTGTCTCAACTTTGGTGTGGCTTTTAAAAGCCGCACTTTGAGCGACTTATCCCCTGCCGTGTGGCAGAGGCCTAAGATGGCTACCCATCTTTCTCTCTCACACACACATGTACACACGTACATGTATGTATGTATACAGGGGTCATTTCGTAGGAAAAGAGGTGCAGGAGCTCATTAGCATAACTCATTAGCATAACTCATTTGCATTTGCCACACACCCTGACATCATCAAAAGTGTGTCAGAAGGCAACACCCACCACTCAGGCTCCACTGGACTGTTTTGGATTGCTAGCTATTTGGGTGGGGGGAATGTGCAGATCTGTCCTCGCAGAGGAGGGAGAGCTTGTACCTGAATAAAACTTGGTCTTAAAGGTGCCACTGGACTGTTTTGGACCGGGGGCGGCGGCTCTGAAGCTTACCTGGCTGCTTCTTGCTCTGACTGAGTGCTGCTGGGAGCAGGGGGTGGGGCTTGTTGCATGTGCCTGCCCCCTGGGCTCTTTACTGCCGGAGCTCCGCTCCTGTGCGCTCCTGCAGGAAATGACCCCTGCGTATGTATGTATGTATTTTCCTCATAATAACCATTGTAAGAGCCTCAGTGCTCTACAGCCAGCAAGGGTTGCCAAATTGGGGTTGGGATATACCTAGAGATGTTAGGGATGGAGCCCAGGGAGGGACCTCAGCAGGGTATTATGCCATAGAGTTCACCCTCCAAGGCAGCCATTTTTGTCCAGGCAAACTGATCTCTGTTGCCTGGAGATCAGTTCTAATTCCAGGAAATCTCCAAGTTCTTCCTGGGGGTTGGCTTTGCACAGGCTGTCAAATGGGCTCTGAAATGTGGCCGTTATGGCTTTCAGTTACCATTTTCTGGCTGCAGTTTGTATGCCCAAACCCTGCCCATATATGAGTGGAGCATGAAGCAAACTATTAAGCCCAGATTTCTTCTAGGGGTGTTGGCATCCTGAGGGCCAGTGTGGCTGGACATCTGGCTGGAAAGATCCCAGGTTGAATTCCTGCTCACTGGACAACTTTGGGCCAGCCAGTCTCTCTCTGTCTAGGCTACCTTGCAGGGTTATTGTGGGGAAGAGAGGACAGCCATGTGTACCAACTGGAACTCTGTGAAGAAAAGGCAGGTTAAATATATCTGATAAACAGACATCTTGCTTCTCTGAGCTCCTGTCTTGCTGGGAAACCAGTAGGGTGGACTACCCAGTCCAGAAGAGGCCTTCTTCTCCCACAGGTGGAGTCATGTGGTTGGGAAATTTTGTCCTGCTTTAGATCCACAGGATTTCAGCTCCCAGTCCTGTACATTTGTGCAGCATCTGGTTTTAGATGTTTCTGGACATTTTGATCCAATAACTCTTTTGTCAAGAAGGAGGAGGAGGAGATTGGGTTTATACCTCACCCTTCACTCAGAGTCTCAGAGCAGTTTACAATCCCCTTTCCCATTCCCTTTCCCTTCCCCCTCTCCACAACAGACGCTCTCTGAGGAAGCTGAAAGAGAGAGCTCTGACAGAACTGCTCTTGAGAGAACAGCTCTGAGAGAGCTGTGACTGACCCCAGCAGCAGCATGTGGAGGAGGAGTGGGGAATCAATTCCGGGAGAAGCTTCACCTGTGGTGCTTCTGTCATGCATGCAGGTGCAGAAGGCATAAAAACCATTCCATTAAAGAACTGGTGTCCATTAGTGGAAGAGGGATTTTTTTCTTCACCCAGATTTAAACCTCTTTACCAGTCCATTCTGCTGAGTTTAAGCACTTTTGAAAATTTCATCATTTTTGCTAATCCAATATACAGAAACCTGGTGAAGGGTTTTGCAATTATTCGATTTTGGGGGGTCCTGCCATAGGATCATTGATTGAGCATAAATATAAACGTCAGGAAGAGGTTCATAGATGCTGTTGGAATGTAGTGCATTGGAGCCCCGGAAGGCACAGATTAGAGTTTAAGGTTCTTAAAAATCATGATAGAAGAAGAGCTGGATTTATACCCTGCCCTTCCTTTGGAGTCTCAGAGTGGCTTACAGTCTCCTCCCCACAAGGGACACCCTGTGAGGTAGGTGAGGTTGAGAGAGCTCTTGAGAGAACAGCTCTGAGAGAACTTGTGACTGACCCAAGGTCACCCAGCTAGCTGCATGTGGAGGAGTGGGGAATCAGACCTGGTTCTCCCAGATTCGGGTCTGCTGCTCTTGGCCACTACAGCAAACTGACTCTTTCTTGTTCATTAAACCATATATAATCTTTTAAAATGCCAATGTACTTTCTTTTCATATGTTTCCTTCTTCCTTTCTTTCTTTTTCTGCAGAGGGGTTCTAAAATACCAAACTAATCTAAAGGAACACCCTCCTGGATGTTTTAACCCTAACATAACAGTTCAGAGGGACGGGGAAGAAGTGGACAGTCTAGAAAATTCACCCTCTGAACATGACCAGCCTTCTGTCCCACGAGGTTCAGTGGAACTGGATCCCACCACCCAAAACAGCTTCATGGAAGTCTGTACAGAGGAACCAAAATTCCAAGCACATTTCCCTGAGGTTTGTATGAAAAGCTATAATCACATTGTGCTTGTGGTGGCAAGCATCTGACTCTGTCTGGCTGTGGTGACAGTATGGAGTGTTCACAAGTATTGCAGCTCCTCAGGGAGCAAAACAGTTGCAAGGGTT